ACACTAAGCACATGAAACAACTCTGAACTAACTAAATATGACGAGGTTATATGATAATAAATCTTTGAAAGGTTCACGCGCGTTGTGCGAATCTAAGGCCCCAACCAGACGAGCAAGCTAATGCGTTTTCGTTTGAAAACGTATTCGGTTTGATGCGTTTTCGCCTATCGTCCACAGTACAACGACCCAAAACGTTGATGAAAACGGAGACTTTCGAAAACGGTTTCAAAAGTGGAGCGTTTTGAAAACGCTCCGTTTCTTAGGCTATAGCGCTGCGTTTATCCGAACGCGGTTTCAAATCGACACGGTACATCCTTTCGAAACCGTATAAAAAATTACACGGTTTGGAAGTGTTTACACAAAAACGATTTATCCGTTTTCTTGGCTGTTATGTCATGGCCGCGACATGTTCTTTTACCAGAAATCTCAGGACACGATTATACCTTGAAGCGTTGCATTAACGAAGCAAGCCCAGAAAACAAAGTTGGGACGGAAAAAGCGATCGTTGCAGTCGGCTTTGTATGTTCACCATATTAAGAAATTCTTCCCGCCAAGATTCTCCCGCTTTTTTGCGCCAAACGGAGGCCGTTTTCAAAGAGACAGGGTTACCCCGTTTACGCAGCACATGAGACCGTATCGTTTTGATAACGCTCTACTTAAGCTTTCGACAGCGTTTTCAAAAAGATGCGGTCCCATTAATTATTCCATCGTTGCCGTGTAAACGGAAGGCGTAACCGGATCGAAAAAGATGCGGTTACAGACAAATGAAACCGCGTCCGTGTAAACGGAACCTAACATGGACAGGTGAAAACGGAGATTTTTAAAAAGGGTGACGAAAAAAGCGTCATATACTGTCGCATCCATCAGCGTTTTTAATTTCGGGTGTTGTATTTAGTGTAGACGATAGGCGAAACCGCATTAAAAAGTATATGTTTTCGAATGAAAACGCAATAGTGTGTACAGGTGAAAACAAAACGAAAACGCTAGTGTGGACAAAAACTGATATTTTGCTTCGTTTTGTTTGAGATGACGACAACGGATATTTTTGTAATTAAAAGACGTAAAAATGCATCAGTGTGGCCGTTTTCGCGTCCACACAACAACGACCCAAAACGCTGATGAAAACGGAGACTTTCGAAAACGGTTTCAAAAGTGGAGCGACGCTTCCCAAAGTATGCGCCGCCTGGTTAGTACGTGTGACAAGAAAACAACACTGTTTATGCCTTCATCGTAGTTATAAATAGATCGAATATAACATCAGTAAGGTAAATTAAATACAACCTAGTTATTATATATACACTTGTACCATAAATAATTTTTAAACGGAGTCACTTCAGTGTGGAGCGAAGAAACTTCAGCTATACGCAGGCTAATCGAGTTAGTTATTGACTGACTTCTTAGGCTGATAAAACAAAACAATTGGAATGGAACTACTATATGGCCGGTGAAGTAAGATTAACTTTCTGTTGTCCGTTGAACTTTACCTTTCTGGATTTTTCGATTTTATAGACGGTTTCTTCTTTCATTTGTAAAATCGATGTAATTTCCATGCCCAGAGGTTATGTCAATAAACGTATATTACTCGTTAATCATAAATTTGTAGCTGTTACTAACACTGACTGTTACACTAACACTAACTGGTGGTATTTAGGGTGAATTTTAGATTTTTCGATTGTGTTCGATTGGGTTCGATTAGTGACCCATTAGTTCGGAAATCAAACGCAATAGGACTCTTTTAGGCAAATGTTTTGGTACGATTGACGGTGTTCGATTATCGAACTAATCGAACTCAATAGTTCGATTAAGTTTGATAAAGTCGGGAAACTTCGACATTTATTTGTTTGCTAGTTACAGAAGTCTAAACATTTGATGTTCACGAGTTTAAGTAATCGGCTCAAGGTCACCAATCGCGTGACTACCATAATGATATGCTTGCTATTCACGTGCCAAAATTCCATTTTATATCGATTATTCCAGTTTACAATGAAGTATAAATTTGGAGAAGACGCGGAAAACCTTTTACTTCATCTCCTGCAAAGCTAATGTTTTTGTTGGTTTTTTTTCAGTAACAACCCGCACCTACAAGAATCATCGCAAAGGTTGTTTTTGTTAACTAGATGTAACGGAAGTAACGAGAGTGTCTCGTCCCACTATTTATGTTCCCGTTTATCGTAGTGCAAGTCGTAAAGAAGAATTAAACTTCTATCAAGTTTATGTATTAAATGTCAAGTTTACGACAATGCCAGCCTCCAGAACCGTACTGCTGGAAACGACGGCGGTAAACTCTCTCTTATATTCAACGAAGTTGCTCCTGTTGTCAGCGATTTGTGCCTTGATGTCAACAACTGCAAGTCTCGCCGACGTACAAAACCGCACCACAGCGGGGGATTGTTGGAATGGCTTATGTACCCAGAACAACAGAAGTTTGGACCAAAACTGTGCAATCAACGTCGACTGCGCTACTTCAGAAGTCTGCTGCAGTAACAAGTGTGTTGAGGGCTTTAACTGTTTAGGAGAGGCTTGCACTTTTGACGATGATTGTCAGTGGGACGAGTCGTGCTGTCTTGGTTCTTGTAGGAAAAAAAACGCATGTACTAATCTTACAGTCATGATTGCCATTTATATTTCTGCTTCCGGTCTGTTGATTGCAGTCGTATGCCCCTTCGTCTACAGAAAGTTAACTTCGGCCATTCAGCCGTTGTCTTCTTCGAGATCAATCTACTTGTTCAACAACCAGGAATTGCATGCTGACATTCCACAAGAGCCCCCGTCCCACCCCACTCTACAAACACTTTTTGCACGTGGAAATGGCAACCCTTTAACCACTAGTTCAGAGACAACAGATAAAGAATCCAGAGACGTAAATATAACTATCACGTCTTATGGCTCTATCAGAATGCCAAATCAGCCTTAAAAAAGACATCATAGAATCGACAACCCAAGAATTATATGGTTAAAAGGGAGAATTTTACACCCTGCTTTCCATTTCGCTAGCGCTGAATCAGGAAAGATACAACAGAGGTCTGCGTGCGGATTAGAAACACTGAACCCCGTCAAAGATAATAAAGTGTAAATGTAAGACAACTCATTAACCTAAAATTCACGGCTGTAAATTATTGAAAAAGAAATTCGTTTGTAAGTTAGTATTTCCCTGACATATATATTGTCCTAAGAATTTTTACAGTTGTATTTTTTTATAAGCCACTGATAAACATTATTTATTATTGTTGAAAAAGAAATAAAGTTTTGTTGTTGTGGTTGTTTTTTTAATGGCACGCATTTGGGCCCAGTCTCTCTCGGAGTGCCGGTCTCCAGTGGTAATCACGTGTTTTATTGTCAATGGTGATACGTTGAAGTTTCCTGTATGATCTGCACGTGCTTACATTACGTTATATTTGTTGAACGTTGCTCGACAATTTCCAATCCATTTTAAAGAACTTAGCGTATTTCCTCTATCAAAACCAACAAATTAAACATTATGTACAGTCAATACGATCCAATGCCCGAAATGTATAGCTTCCTTATTTTACTTAAAGTAAACGAAATTTTTCCGTTGTTTATCTTTCCTGTCTCGGAAATAAACTTCAAAAGGTTGGAGGCTAACACACGGACCAAAGACAGGGTCGTACAGGAGTGTTCTCGTGATGCGTGATTAGCTGACTTTATTTGCCGTGAAACGTGAATTTAAGAAATTGTTCTTCGTGATTCGTGACTTGAAGGTTTTGCGTGACCCGTGAAGAACTTAAATTATTAACCGATATTCGTGATTTCAGATTATTACTTGTATTCTACGTGATGTTGAGACGCGAACCCTCCGGAAGATTTGTTAAGACTGAAAACGTGAAAGACTCCGTCAAAACTTTAGTTTATTGCACAGAACGAAACAGAAACATATAAGATATGCTTGTTTGAAAGACAAATTTTGTATTTGTAAAAGTGCAGGAACTGTTGGCATCAATGCTATAATATAAAACTGACTCAAAAGAGTGTAGCTGGTTTCCACAGCAACCATTTTGAGTAAAACCTTACTTTCTCTTCATGATTGCAATCGCACGCAATTGATCTTACTTCACCATATATAAACAAACTTTTTGGCCTCTTTTAGGGGATCATTTCACCTTAAGACCAAAATCTGTGATTTTCCCTACCCTATTTATGACATGACCCTTAAATCAATACCCTGTTTCAGACCAGTTTTATAATTAGTTTCCTAGTTCAGACCGCTGAAAGTCATCGTGAATTCAATTTTAATTTCACTTCACTTCAATTTTATTATATTGAAGGTAGTGAAGGTTAGTGAAGGGTTTTTTGTTGGTCCGTATCGATAATGATGAAAAACCCGGCCCATATGGTAAAGAATCTTTTTCTTTGGTCATCGTAGCCGTAACAAGAAATAACACACAAAAAGCGGTGATAAACATGACAATAAGATGCATTGTTGGAAAGCAAAAATAAAACTATATCATAAAACTTCACGTTTCGTATGTTTCCACATACATCTTCAGAAGTGACGGTTGAGAATAGAACAACTAAATTTAAAATTTAAGATGAGTAACTAATTAACAATAACAATTATATAAGCTGAACAAAATTTGCATATTAAAAGATGCAAACTAATAAAGGTAAAGCTATTCGCTACTAACATTATCAGTTTAGGGTAGGTTTCAAGTCTCTTATTAGTAGTCTCCTTTATCTTGCAATGTGTATCTGACTGAACCTGACTGACCTTTTGCTAAAATGTCAAGTGGTCCCATTTTAAGTTGTGACCGGTTGACGTGACGTGGTCTGGTACTCGTGAGCGCTTTAAAATGTTCAATTTTTCAGTTCAGTCCAATTTTAGTCTAAAAAACCATACCCTATTTGAGAACAAAATGGCCAAAATTGATACCTTATTTGTGACCAAAATGGCCAAAAACCCATACCCTTTGGGGCCGCACATACCAATATAGCCCATATACGAAAGTAACACCTCCCCGCCCGCCCGCCCAACCACCCCGCCGGGAATCCACACAACTCTCACTGGTGACCTTTAGCACTTCGCCCGAGAGGATAAATTGCTTTTGTAAATACTATGGTAAAAACAATGTCTCATGACTTTCAGAATGGTAAAAAGCTGCTAAATAAGCATCGCCAGATCGTGTTTTCCTTCCCTTGCATTGAACAACCAACTTGTTCGAAATACAAAAGGCGCATTTTCGACCCCAGATCCTTCGCTTTCTTAACTGCTCGCGCCATGCACAAATGAGAAGAGCTCTGGGGTCGAGAATGCTACAGGCGCGGTTACAGAGTTGTTCATAAGACTTGACGCATGCGTAAGCTCAGTAAACATCGGCAAAATCCAAGATGGCGATTTTGTCTGGCTGTCACTCCGAGGCACTGTTGTCGTGAACATTTATAAAGTTCTGTTCGCCCTCACGAGCTGAAAAATGCAGAATAGGAGAACGTTACATCAGACTTTACAACAGAGGGTTTACGGTGGCTTTCCACCTGGCGCCATATTGAAGAGGGCTCGAGGTATGTAGGAAGGTTTTGAGTGATCGGTGAGAGACGATGAAAGATCTGTGAAGATCTGTGAAGATCTGCTGATCTCTTTGATGTCTCAGCTGTTTGTTCAACAGGATTTGATACTATAACCCAGAAAGTTAGAGAAATTCGCTGCGTTTTGCGTAGGTTTTTCTGTTCTAATATTGTTATTCGCAGCAATCTGAATTTTTTTAATCTTACACCGGCTTATCGTGATCGATAGTTTAGTAACTTAATTAACTTAAGTTATATAATTAAGACTTCGATATGTATTTTCCTGTTCCCTGCTATGAATGCTTACTAAGAAAAAAACAATCAGTATGACAAAGTTAAAACGTTTTGGAAAAAATAATTTAGCTTTTGGTGTACACTGACTAATTATAATATCGTTTGCTTATTTGCATGGATCAAGGAAGTAAATATCTAGTGCAGTGCTTGCAGAAAGAAACCATTTTGACTGGACACGAGGGCTGTGTAAGTTTGGGGTGTACTTTGTGTTGTGTCTTGAAGTTAATAATGCACCTCTTCAAGATTTTAACTGGATTGGCCTCCAGTTGTTGATGAATCGATGCCCACCTTAGTATTAGAGAAAATCAATAATAATTGCTGGATCAAGGGTGCATTTTTTTTTTCAGCAAATTTGGAAGTCCTCAAATAAATTTGCAATAAATATGTGAAATATTATTTACCGACTAAATTTTAAGCTCCTAGTCCTGCCAGGAGGTTGTACACCTTGGGAGAAACGTGTACTGTAGAACTTTGCAGAAAATGCCCCCCATGGGAGGAATTTTTTTTTTGGTCTGCTAGAATCCCCCATCCCCCTGGAATTTTTAATCCCATTTGTGGGGAGTGGGTATGAGGTTTTAACAATAACAATAGTTATATTTTCTGGAACTGCACAATACATGTAGAAGGAATCCTGGCTAATTGGCTAGTCGCTTTATCATACAATGCACTTCATCATAAATATGTCAATCTTAGCAGGCATGCAGTGCCAAGAAAGTGAGATGTAATATTACATGTACGATCTTTTATCATTAGCTTTCAGAGCTAGAGGTGACAGGCAAACATCAACATTACTGTTGTTAGATCAAACTTTACTGATATTTTTAGGCTTACAATGTAGTTAATTTCATGAGGGCCATTCCCAAGTCTCCATTTGATATCCACACTGTCACATCACATGTTGACAAAGTCACTGTAAATCTAAAGCCTTTTTAAACTCATCACAAATAGAGCAAAGCAGTGCAACTGATCCACAACAATCAGCAGAATATACTACAACAATTATGCAATGAACCATAAACCCTTGCAAAACCCCTGAAGGCCACCCCACAGGTCACGTACTCCGCTGGCTGCATAAGCTCATATATAACTTGCCTAAATGATTTTAGCTGGATGGGCATGCTAGCTGGCTGCATTAGCTCGAGTTTAACCTTGCCTAAATGATATTTAGCCACATGAAATATCAATGTGGCATTGACAAGTTGTTAAGTCACCTACACCTAGTGGTGTGCAGTGTTCTCCTTTGCGGGCGGTAACCAGTAAAATTTACCATCTGTAGCAACACTCATTACTGCCTAAAATCCCTTGGAATTCTTGAAAATTCAACAGGTAAAAGAAAAA